TGTATTTCTTCAGAGGGATTTTCAGAGCCTTCAGATCAGGATGATGCTTTCAGAGACAGAGACAGTCCTGAGCGCAGCCTGTACTACCTAGGGATAACGTCATTGGAAAAAGGAGAAAATGACATTTTTTTAACAGAAAGTTCCGGGGTGATGTGTCCGTTCCATACAACCGATCTGCTCAAAGACACGGGGTTTTTGCAGCGTACGCCTCCTGAGTTAAATGCATTTATCCAAAGTAGCCTTAAGTATAAAGCCATTGTGCCGTATGTGCCGCAGTTTCAGATGGCTGCTGCCAAGGGGCAAGAGACCACAGAGATAGACTCTGAAGCCATCACAACATAACTGGATACCCTTAATGTGGTTTTTATTTAGGTGTTGATATGTTTGCCTGTTTTTCCTTCTCCTGACTTTTGTCAGGAGCTCTCCTGTTTCAAAGCTGGGTAACAGGTTCTATATTTGAGTGCCAGGATTTTAGCAGGAAGAAATTCCATTTCTTGTCCTAATTTTCAAATGTGAGGCCTTCCTTCAGAGCTCTGCTTGTGTTGAAGTCACCTCTGGTGCCAAATTATCCAATTTTGATGCCTGTTAGGTGTGTGTCTGAGCACCCTGTGATGAACTGCACTTGACATTGGACTCCGTGCTGTAGACGTAGAGGTGAGAGGCTGGGTGGGATGTGATGCAGACGCAGTCATCACTAACCCCCAGTGAGCTCTGCGCTGGGCTGTGGTCTGTCCCCAGGGCAGAGCCACCGACAGCCCCCTGCAGCTGCAGCTGGCTGCCACAGACATACCCAGCCACTGCGGTGCTTGCCTGCAGGCAGAGCACAGCAGCACCTCCCAGGCTGCATCAGTGATGACAAGATCTGCTTGGACTGGTGGTAAATGGATGCGTTGTACAAATACCTTTTTTTCACCAAAATCCGGATGTATTTATTGCTTTAAATGGAGCCTGTGCATACACAGATGGTCCCCATGCAAATCAAAAATATTCAGCAGTAGCCTCAAAGAGCTGTAGGAGAAACTGGGAGGTCAGAGACATGCTGGTGTGTCAGTGTAGAAAACGCTCCCTGAAGAACTAACGGTTCCGTTAGCTTACGGAACTGTGAGAAGAGGAAGAGGATGAAAATTCTTGTGGCCGTGTTAATTGTGGGGTGTTATCTGCGTAAAGCAGCGTACTGGGAGGTAAAATGTCCACGTTTTTGTTGTTGAACATGAGATTCTGGTACAAACAGAACTGCTGTAAACCTAACATCCCTTCCAAAGCCCTTTCCTAAGAACCCCCAGTAGAAAAGGCAGTGATTTGATCCCAGAATCCTGTATGTTTTATTTTCGGTGAGCCAGCCTCTCTGGATGGACTTGGAGAAGTCGGTTTGCCTTCCCAAGCCCGGCTCCCCTCAGCTGAAAAGCTTTGGAGGGGAGGAAGATTGGTTCTTGCATCTCCGCTGTATTTTCTGGGATCGGCAGGTAAAGAAAACCACACTTACTTGCAAGCCAAATATATTTTTTCTACTGTATAGTTAGTAAATATTTTTGTATATATGCCTTTTCAAAGAACTATTTTGAGGAGCTAAGAAAGATGAATATATTGTGTATTCCAAAGCTAAATTTATATAAAACTTATATGGGCAATTTAAAACAAAAAGGCAAAACCCAGCAACAAAGGACATGGTCGAAGTGTGGAAACACTTGAATATTAGTGATAAGAAATCCTATGGAGCAAAAAGGACCAAAGCAAGTATTTGTCTGCACTTGGAATTTTAAGACAAGCTTTACAGAAAAACCCACTGCTGCTTCTCAGACAAGCTGCTGCCCTGGCTCTTGCTGGGGGTCTTTGTTTCTGGATGTTAATATGACACAGATCCAACATACTTGGTTCAAAAATGTGATGTACGGTGGGGGGGATTAAAACATGTTTTGTGTAAGTTTTTGAAACTCTTTGTCACTTGAAAATGTGATGGCAGGCTGCAGGTACAAACGCCTGAAAAGGTTCCTGTGGAGTTCCAGGAGCAAAGCTGTGATTAGCACCTGGGTGAATGCTAGACGTGCAATTCATCTGAAAACAGAAATTCACTCCTGCCAGCATGGGAGCTTGGTGTGGCACAGCCTCCTGGAATGGGGAAGGGACTCGGGTGTGGGATTCCACCTCTCCTGATGGTTTTCCCACCAGATCCCCTGTCCCCGGGCCACAGAAGGTGCTGGGAGGCTGGTGCCGGGCTGTGGCCCCACCAAACCCCCCCCTCCAGTGTCCCAGGGAGCGCTTGCGGTGCAGCTGGATTTGGGATGGAGGACTTGGAGTCCTGCCCATCAACCTTCTCCTCTGGTTAACCTGGGACCCAGAGGTGATGTGACGATGGAAATGTGGTTTGGTGACTGCAGCCATAAAACAACCGTGTCCCCTCCTGTTGGGAGGAGAGACCCCCCCCGGCGCCCCGCAGCACACCCAGCGCCTGCAGCCTCTTCTGCTGGGAAGCGGAAAGGGCAGAGCCATTCTCTGGGGACTGGAATAATAAACACATGGTTCAGCATGAGGTTTGGGTTTCTTTAATAACTGTGTCTGTAAAAATTATTTAATTGCATTTGAAGATCATCTTTTTCAAGAAATGAAAAGCCCACATTGATTTTACCATACAAAGTCCTTTTCCAGTCAGTCTGTAGGGACTGGAGTACCATTAACTGGGGGAAGGATGAGCTGGGTGAGCCTGGGAAGGCTTTCCTGGGAACATGGGACACGGCAGGAGTTAATCTGCTGTCCCCTGTTCCCGGGACTCGGATGTGCCTCAGAGCTGATGGCAGGAGAGCGTTTGCAGCCTGCCATTGAGCTCGAGGGTTGCTGCGTTAAAAAAAAAGCGCGGAACATCTTCCCTCGATGGGAGTTGGTAGCTACCCGGATATCGCCGCCTTTGGGAGTCCAGCCTGGCCTGGAGTGCCTTCCTGCCATCCCAGTCCTGGGCTTTTCCTAAGGGCTGGAGCATGCAGTGCTCCTTAGAAAAACAAAACCATCGGGTATTCACAAAAATCCCCGTGTGAATGTAAGAAATGCTGCAAATATTAGCTGATCTCTTCTGCTTCAGCAAAAAGAAAAGATTTTAAGTATAGCTGCTGTAGGACTAAGGAATGTAATCCCTTAATGTCCGTGTGCCTTTTCCCAAGCAACCTCCACACCATGTCTCCAATCCCCAGGTTTCTGCCAGCGCAGGTAAACCCAGGTCCTGACCCGTGGGGAAGGGCAGGACACAGCTGTACGAGTTTATTCAATAAATACTTCCTAAAACCAGCTCTCAGTGTGGCGTTTTCCTCCGTATCAAAATTCAGTCCCACTGTTCACCTCTCCTCACTCTGGTATAAAGCCAGAATCTGCACATCCTGAACCCACCATGGGCTGCTGCCTGCCCCTGCCCTGGTCACCGGTGACGGGGTTGGCTCTGGCCACTCCTGCTGGCAGCGTCTGCTTTTGGGAGAGGAAATTGCCACTGGGGTCAGTTACCACATTCTTTTCTCACCATTATTTTTTCCCTGGGTGGGCTCCCCCTGGCCAGCAGCCTGTGCCCAGCAGCTGGGCTTCACGCCAGGGCTGGGTTTTGGTTGCTCAATTCCCCTTCCACGTATGGGAGAAACTCCACCCACAGGCACGGAGCTTTGCTCGTGCCTGTAGTGAGTCTGTTCATTTTTAAGAGCAGATACTGTTAAGTACATGGGAACTCTAAATGCTGTGCAGATATTGTATCTGCAACCCCTGTTGAGGCACATTTCTTACAAAAGCTGGTGAAATTGAAATATGCTGTTACACGTTTAGAATGTAAGTTATCAGTGGTGGAAAACTGCGAAGGAAAGGGAATTTCTGTATTAATTTCCCAAAGAAGAGTTTTGCTGACAGCTGGACTGTCGTCCCCAGAATAGGAGCTCCTGCTCAGCCGTGATCTGCTGGGCAAAGAGGGTTTCAGCTGATGACCTGCATCTTCATCCCTGGTCTGACACAGTCCCCTCCAGCCAGGGCCGCTCCTGGGCAGGGTGAGCTGAAGGGACTCGCCTGCCCTGGGGCACAGTGAGGGGTGAGAAATGCTGCAGAAACGGATTTTGGAGCATCCTGAGGGCATGGTCCCACCAGAAACCCGGGGCTTGGCTGCGGGAGTAGCCCAGCACAGTTTCTGTTTGCTTCACTGTTATGGCATTCCCAATAAATACACCTAGGCCTTTGCTACAAATAATCCGCTGATAATTCCCAGAAAATTTGGTATTTTGCAGAGATTTTTTTTTTTTTAATTTTTTGCCAGGGCTCCATCCCCACCAGGAAAGGTCTTTTCAATTTAAACTGCACCAGCAATTAGGAGGAACCATGTGCAGCTTCTGTAGTACATATCAGGCCCTAACATTAAGCTCTTGCAAATTAATTTTGAAGAGCTTTCAGAAGCAGAGCTCATTTATCTAGGAGAATTAATCAAATGTGTCATTATTCCTTTTACACATCACTTACAGCTACAGTTAAACGCCCTTTTTTTCTTTTTTTAAACTGCAATTGATGTTCGAAGCAGCAAGAAGCTTGTTTTTCAAATTTTGTACATGTGGAGATGGTTCGTCTGTCTTTGAGCCATCGATCTGTGCAATCAGCCTTGGGCTTAAAGTCGGCAGTAAAGCAGGGTTTGGGTTTTGCATAAACTGGGAACTAATTTGTTTTCTGTCTGTAGCTTTCACTTCTGTAGCATTTACAGTAATTATTTCCCGCTGATGAGACTGTAACTTGAAACACCGTTTTCTGACAGTGTCAGGATAATTTTGTCATTATTTTTGTGAATAAAATGTTGATTGTTGATGTCACTGTTGAATAGGTGTTTGCCTGTCGTCGCCAGCCTCTGCCCAGCGTGGGGGCAGCGGTGCGAGAGCCCATCCTGCCCCCCCAAGATTTCCTAATGAGGAGCTTGATCACTGAGGAGTTTTTTTTAAATTGGGAAAATCTTTAGAGTTTCACTTTGCAGATTACGGGAACTGCACCTCGAGGAGAGCAGCGTTGCTGTGTAACACAACATTCCTGTTGGCTGGCTCTTGCAATGTGACATACTGTTGTCCTGCTGTGTCCCACGCTGTGCGGCCGGACACGGGGCACGGCTCGGAGGAACCGGGGCAGGTGTCCTCGCTTTTGCGCGGATGGATGCTCTTAAGGGGCTTTTCCACATCCTGTGACTCTGCGATCTGGCTCATTTCGTGTGCGCACACCTGGTCCTTCTGTGCCCATGCTTGCCGGCACAGGACTAACCGATGCAAGGAGCAGATGTCATACCCTTGTCCCTGCCCAAATCCCTCCTTCATTCCTGCGCCTGGCACAGCACACGTAGCCTGCTCAGCACCTGC